CATCCGTTGACCCTTCATATCCTAGGCCAGAATACCATATTTTTGAGCTAAGGCGGCCATAAGCAACCATACTCTTCAAATACGGCAGCGAATCATCCTATCCCTTTATAAGCATGATTGAAATAAGAGTTGCAGTTCTTTTTCCCATATACTCACAGGTTCTGGGAGGTTCGGATCAATGTCATCGTCTTGAATAACAAACGGCAAACCTGTACCAAAGCTCCATCGCCGGTCAAGGCTGTACACAGACCAAAATAGTCGAGTGATTCGTGACCAATCGGCCTCGGCTGGGAAAGTTTTCATAATAGCATCGCGGCGATGTAATCCAAGCTCCAGGCACATTCGAGCGGCTAAACCGATTATTCGGTATGACATTATATCATTGTCTGTGTGAAAGTGATAGGTTGCCTGTAAAGTGCAAAGTTAGCATACAGAGACAAAATAAGGAGAATTAAATATCAATCACGCACAACAATAGAAAGTAGCTGGACAGATTTGACATCGACAGGCTCTAGCATCTTGGCGTAAAAGACAGGCTTGACAGTCTCGAATAAGCGATGTGCAAGGTCGCTTTGCCCGTTACCTTCAAGCACCAATGTTGTAGCAAGTATCATCTTGAGGTTAAGCGTATCATCATCTTGTAAACCGTCTAACCCTGGAAGATCACGCTTTGTAAACCCCGTTCTACTGGCTGCTTCCAGGAAATGATAAAGCAGATTTGTTCGCGCAATAACCTTGTCGATGTCGAATATAGGGTACATCAACCCGATTTCTTCCTCATATACTTTGCATAAACGGATAGCTTCTTCTCGGCGGATGAACCAGATGGGGTCCTTGGTAGGAAACATTGTAGCTATTTGCGCTGTCGTTGTGTGATTGAGATCGGGTTGAGGTGTTTCAGATGGAATGGGCGTTAGGTCCTCGTGCATTGGGCCTTCATTAGGCGCAATTCCCATATTCTGGAGGCTAGATCTAGCCACGTCAAAATTGAAAGCCGAGCTTGTCGGGCCGTGAAAACGGGGGTGCTTGGATCGCACGCGATTTGGAGGTACTTGAGCAGGAGAAAGAGACTCTGCATGAGAGCTGTTACTGGCGAACGACTCGAAAGGAGTCGAGTCTAGTTGTGACGGCCTTTGTGAATTCAGCTCATTCAGCCTGGAGAAAAGAGTATTGACCTGCTCCTCAAGCGTGCTAATCTGCTCTTTCATTGATCGGTATTCTCTGTTCCCGAGTCAACATTTATCAGGCACCTAAATGGAGGGGGCAGACGGACTCTGATTCCTTAAAGTTCCCATTGCAACAATTCGGGGCGTACAGGCCTAGACCGAGAATTAGACAGCAGTATGAGATTTTTAGGCACGTTTGTGTACTGACATTCCAGATTAAGATGGCCGCAGCGCTGACAAGGAACCTGGCCATTGCACTTGATCTTGCGTCGCTTGCATTCGTTACTAGCAGGGACACGCGGAATAAGCGACAATACTTAAGTGACGTACAAAGATAGTAATCAACTCCGGGGATTTAGGGCAGCGCATAGCGCGATATCCACCTACCATGCGATTGAGATGTATCGATTCCGCTTCGCTCGAGTGTGTGTTCCGCTCTGCGATTCCGCTTTTCTTTTGACGTCCCCGTCGGGCGTGGCGACCGTGACTTGCGGAGAAGAACCGTTGGGATGAGGAGACTCAGAGGCCATCTCTGCGACTATTCTCAGCAGTCCAGCAGCGGTGATGCGGCGCGAAAGCGACGAGCGTCGTGGACGGAAAGCAGCGTTGTTCAGGTGCGGAATTCGCTCCAGCGGGCAGTTGCGGGCGGGGGTCGCTCTTGCCGCCCGCTTACGCATGGCTCCTTCCGCTTTAATTACTTCTGACCAGGACAGAGACAAACGCACAAAAGGTGATCGGTGGAATTATTGCATATTTATTAAAACTAGACAACTACCTCATCGCCCCCATGGATTTCTTTTTGCAGTGGCAGGTGAAAACGAGATCACTCGACCTGGTTATGCCGCGAGACGGTTTGCCTTAGCTATCACCGAGCTTAATCCTCTAGTGATGGCCTGAACAATAGCAGTCTTGATAGCCTGCACCGCTGCAGGGCGCTTCCTTGACCAGATATAGAATCCAAACACTGTTACCACCAATGATCCGCGAATCAGCTGTTCTCTCCGGCGTCTCTTGATACCTTCCGGTGTGAATTTGGCGTTCCAGTGGCGCCATACGGGAAACATGGATCGCAGGATGTAATCAACCTGAGAGAAACTGGAAGCGAGAACTGTCAGCAAGCAAACTTCCCTCCTCGAAATAGGAGTTACTGTGAGGACTTACGGATATGTTGTTGAATTCCAACCGTTTGCCTGCGTGTACCAACTATTGCAGCCGCTCAAAAAGGTCGTGTGCTTGAGTTCGTTTTGGACTTTTTCTGTCCATTCTCGTTCGGCCTCTTCTTTCACCTCCCAGGTGCTAACGCTCCCGTCGAGGATTGGCTTCATGAACTTCAAACTGTATTGGATTGCATTTTCGCTTGCCAGAATCACGCTTGTGTGGCCAGTAGCCATGTTCGGACCGAAAATCATAAAAAAGTTGGGGAATTTGTCCATGGCAATACCGAGATATGCCTGAGGTCCGCCTCGCTGCTCCCACACATCATGGAGACTCTGCCCGTCTTTTCCCACGACGCGGAGTGGATGAAGCCACTCGTTGGTGTGATATCCATTTGCTAGAACAATGACATCGGCTGGCAGTTGCATCTCCTCGTCGGTCGTCTCCTTTCCTTCCTGAGGAGGATACTGCTGGGATCCAAGGGTGATGCTTCGGGCCTGAACGCTTTTGAGGCGGCGTGAGGTCAGTTCGACCTTTGGGTGATACAAGCTCCTATACCATTCCCCGCCAATGACGCGCCGCTTGCAACCGAGGCGATAATTCGGTTCTAAAATATCGAAATATCTGGACGGGGCTAGCTCTTTCATATACTTCCGACTTTCCTCCTCCTTGTGGGGTAGATATTTTCGGGTGTAGTCCGTGTTGGCGTATGTGGTAAAGAATTGGTGTTCCATGGCCACGAAAAAGAGGAATCGAATGGTACGCATGAAACCAGGTATATTTCGCATCAAGGGTGGGGCGTATTTTCTCCAGCGCCTGGTAGATTCTGGGTCATCCTTGAAGGGTGTTACCCACGGCGGAGTTCTCATCAATTGCGTAACGGATTTGACATTGTAGGGATCCTTGACGAGGCCTGGAACGACCTGAGCAGCGCTACACCCAGATCCCAGGACGACTACGTCTTTTCCAGTCACATCCAGGTCCTCTTTCCATTTAGCCGTGTGGATGATATCGCCTTCAAAGTCTTCCCACCCGGGGATGTCTTTTGGGACCTCCTTCGGCTCAACTAATCCACCCACAGCACTGATAGCAACCTTGGCTCGCACGGTCTCGGTAGCGATATAAACACTCTTCTCGCCGTCCGCGGCAACTTTATTTTGACGGTCGAGGGCCGACCAGTCTCCTGTTCCGGGCACGAGATGAGCCAAGGTAATTTCCCATTCTTCTTCTTCTTGCAGCCATCTCAGCTCTCTCACCTCGGTGTGGAGCTGGATTTTGTCTACGATTTCATATTTGGCACAAACATTGGCCATATATTCTGCGATTTCTGGGCCGGACGGATGTGCCGACGTCCAGTTCGGGTTCTGCGCGAACGAGAAGGAATAGCAGATGGCGGGACTACGTGCTGTTATCTTCCGCTCACGTCAAAGACTTGGATCCAGTATACATACATGTCACAGGCAACCCCGGGGTATCTATTGATCCACCATGTGCCGCCAATGCCGGACTGGCGGTCAAATATGCGAAACTGGTCGAATCCAAGGACCTCCTTTAGCTGGCATCCCATTGCAATCCCCGATTCTCCTGCGCCCACAATGACAACAGGGTAGTAGGTGTATGCATTCTTAGCATACGCGCTTTTTCTGCGAATCGACGCCATAGGTGTAGGATTCCGGTGTTTTTTGGGATCGGTGGTAAACAATTGAGAACTTCGTACAGATCACCCAGCCAACTTTTCTAGTTGGCTTTTACCTCGGGGCCGAGGGTCCCTAGCATTAAAGCGGGGGGTACGAGGATCTAGATGCGGAGTAACCCGTGGATCTTTGATGTATTACTACCTGATCGTGCCACCCTGCACGCACCCGCTTCGGCTCAACTTCGACTTTTTGCGTTTTTCAACATGAACACTTAGTTATCTTAAAAATAATATTGCCTATATAGTGTAAGATTAAGAGGTATGCTATTTTGAAGGTTTTGGATGTTTATACAGTAAATAGAGATCAAGAAAGTATGGTACAAGTGTGTCAATTTAGTGCTTCTTGTAACTGCGTATCCCTGTGAATAATTTACTTTTAGATATTTTAAGATTACAAAGCGTCTTGCGTGCAGGAAACCCTCGGCTTAAGGGGTCGATTTTTTACTGGGTCCTTGTTCGTTGGTTGGATTCCATTTCAAGCAAGACATGGATATTTTCATATTATAGGATATATATATAGTCGCAACAACGGCGAACATGGGAGGGACAGTAGAAAGACAACCAAGAAGCAGCATTTCACTAGTATACTTGGCAGCCTATTTCAGACCATCCAGGAGTTGTTTTTATTTTACTGCATGCAGGAGGAAAGGAGGAATAATAGGCCACAATAGTAATTTCGATTTGTTTTTTTATCAGTCAGTCACTGTGGCAGATTACTGGACGGTGGCACTTACTGACAAACTGGACCGCGGCCTCATGGCTTGCAAGAGCCCAGATGACAAGGCCCACGCATATAAGAAGACCACGCGATCAACCAGTCTTAGCAGCAATATCTAAAATGAACAGTGTTACTAGAGCACCACACTCGAATCATACGCAGTCGCATGCGTCAGGGTATTACATGACTAATACGCATAGGGAAGAAGAGACGAAATATGGGTTGAAAACATTATATACTGAAATTCCCTTGACTTAGACATCAAGGCAAAGTGGCGGAGTGGTTAACGCGTGTGACTCGAATATCTCCGATATCACATTCCTTCGGGAGCGCATGTTCGAATCATGCCTTTGTCGTCTCTCTTATTCTTTTTGAATTTTTTTTGATAAATCTTGTTATGGCGTTGCGTACTTACCAAAATCATGTAATAATAATTACTGGGGTTCCTGTTCTAGGGCCTTTATCCCATATTATTGAGCAACAATGGTATTCGTGGGCCATTTTTGGCCGGCTAATTCTGCCTCTCAGTGCCTACTGTGTTTGCGCTATCCGTGCTTAATAAAACGAATCCTACCTCATCCTTAAATACTAATGGCAACTGCCAGCCCAGTATCAATTTCGGCTTGGCTCTGTTTTCTCAGCAGTTCATTATATTCGAACCACACAGAAGTCCTGTACCAATCTTTACTTTCACACAACCACCATTCCATGAGGTTATCCAGAAGCCCAAAAGCTAAACCGATCCACAATTACAACACACTGCAATATTCTGACAAACCAAGAATATGCACGTTACAAAGAGCCTCACCAAGGCGTCTCTCTTGGTGTAACAAATACGTAGCAAGTAGTCCCTCTAGACCACTAGTTTCCTGGGGAAGTTCTGGGAATCTAAGATATACGTACAGCAGTTTCTGTTCACCGGTAAATGTACAGCATCTCCTTTTCATAAATATATGTAGGAGAGCAGCAAGATGTTTCACAGCAACATAGCTACGAGTAGCTACTCCTTCCGTACGGATAACATTGTAAGAGTAGGTACGTAGTGATGAATAACTAGGGGACATCGAATCATTGATGGGCCCGCCAATCACGGATAGTGGCTGTAGGCCCACTCGCTAACACCAGCTCGAAGCTTGGTAGTTGCACGTTCTTCTACCCACCCCAACGCCTGCATTTCTTGTGATTCTGTTGGATCAAGCGCTTTCTCGAATTGCTTATGAGCTGTACGCTGAAATGGACTTTCCAGCGGGTGTCCCGACTGTCATCACGTGTGCGAATATTACCACCTTCAATCCCAAATAGCTTGCGCCTTCTCTCGACGACATCGACGCATACACGTCGTGCATACACGCCGCTCAAAACGCTACACGATAGTAGCATCGAAGAATTCCAAAACCAATGTTTCAAGCCCGAACATCCGGCAGTCCTACACTTGCCGGCTTTGCGCACACTGCCAGCCCGACACAACTGGTTTGCTCCGACGCCGTCATTGTCATTCCTCCTCAATCACGAGTATTTTGAGCCGTACGCCGACACGCCGGTGCCACTAGAGCTTTCCTCTACCAACTCGCAAAGTGAAGGTGGCAGTAATAATGATGAGCTGCAGTTCAGGCGCTTCCAAGCTCCCCTGTGGACCTTTTTGGACTGGGCCCGGTCGTCGACCACCACTCCCACGACGACGCCATTCCGTCTCTATCTAGCTCAATGCCAACTCGCCGACCTCCCTCACCAGCTTCAAAATGATATACCCACACCAGAAATAGTGAAAAACGCCGGCAAAGGTGATATATACGATACCAACATTTGGATCGGCCTTCCGCCGACATATACGCCTCTCCATCAAGACCCCAATCCGAACCTCTTCGTCCAGCTCGTGGGCAGCAAACATGTGCGCCTGTTACCGCCCGACACCGGATTGAAACTCTTTGCGCGAGTGCGTAGCCAGCTTGGCAAAGATGCCGGTCGAGGCGCTGCTGTTTTCCGGGGTGATGAGATGATGCAAGGTCGTGAAAGGGAGCTTTTGGAAAAGGCTGTTTGGGCGGATGATTATGCTTCTTCTTCCGAAGAAGGAATTTCGGTCTCTGGGTATGAGGCTGTTCTGAACGGTGGGGATGCGCTTTTTATTCCAAAGGGATGGTGGCATAGTATCAAGGGGGTTGGAGAGGGTATCACTGCTTCTGTGAGTCGTTTCTTTTTAATGTGTGTTGAATTGGCACTGATGGAGACAAGGTCAACTGGTGGTTCAGGTGAAAACCAGTCCACTTAAAGCTGGCACAAAGGGCCATGGCTTTCTCTACGATTACAGACATTAACTGTCGTTCAGAGTGTCTCTGCCACCAACTTCATGTTTATCATGGGGTATCAATCTCGGCAATACAATTATGGCGCTATATACCAGAAGATCCTGTGTTGCTAAAGAGAAACCTCATGAAAACCGAACGCCACTCGATGGATCCCACGTTCCCGGCCCAGGGCCCTGTTGTTTTGGTCCACCCCGTCCAGGCTGAGTGTTCCCAGGGGTGGGCATAAGCCCCCCAAATCGAATGCCCATTTCTGGTGACCAGACACCTGTGTTCGCCACGGGGGGTGGCGCAACGTTAGCTCGCGTTGGCAGTGGAGCTGTCAGAGGCTCTGTTGGTCGAGATTGGAGCTGGGAGGGTATCGTGGGCTGTGTATACGGCGAGGCGGGTTGTGCAGCTGTTGGCGGTGTGGCCACTGGCTGCTGCTGGTGTGGAGGACGATGTTGTGTAGTAGATATATTGAGCGAGGCCATTGCTGCTGCGTTTGTAATGTCACTGCTCGCCTGTTAGCCGATCCGACAACCCGGGTTGCAACTTTATTTGGGGGGGAGGGGCGAGCTTACTTCTCCAATTGGCTTGCTTCCATCCGTCGTTGATGAACAAAAGACTTGCAGTCGTCTCTAAACCGGCCCACAATCTTTGCCAGGTCATTGTAAAACTTGCGTCCAACCTCGACGTTAGAAATGAGTTCCTTGTACTTTGCGTATCCATTCTCTAATTCCTGCAGTGCCTTTTCCCGCTCTTTGCTGGACGTGTCCCCTCGTCGTGCTTTGTTGAAGTTGCGGTTCGCTTCTTGAACTTGTGTCTCCAGTTGGTCCTGTTCGTTTTGCTCTTGGGCAAGCATCCCCATGTCCGAGTCGTATAGGTGGAGTTGTTCTTCGAACAGACTCTCAAACTGGCTAGCTTCGATTGGCTGCATTGGGAATTGTCTTTCAAGCCGGGCCGTTTCCTTTAGCAGCGCTGAATCTTTACATCTTGTTAGACTAGAAGTTACAAAAAAAAAAAAAAATTGAAGAGGGGCAATCTCACTAATATCATCCGAACGAGCCTTTTCCTTGAGGATATTAATGCGCCGCTTGCGCCGATTTTCAAGCCGGCCAACTTCATTAAGACAGCTTCTCAGCCTGCTTGACTCCCTTTCCAGTTCAGGAGTAATATTCGCCCTTCGAGTGCTAGGCACATATGATTCCAGGTCACGGTTTGTCCCCGTCAAAACGAGCAACACCTGCTCGGCCCCTTTCAGTTTCTTTGAGACTAGGTCATCGGTGCTCTGCGCTGACGAAAAGTATCCGTTGATATCCGTCGCGCTCTGGTAGACCTTTTGCCCGGCTGCTTCGGATGACGCTCGATCCCATCGGTCTGTCCCGTATCTGGCACGAGCGCGATCGTCTTCTTCCTTTTCAGCTGCTAAAAGTTCTACTCCTTCTGTATAAAGTGCCTTGTCATTGCTCTTGAGTTGGGCTGTGTCTTCGAGAGAGCGGCGCAGGAGAGCGAGTCCGTCTTGTTGGCGGACTTCTTCCGCGTGTGATATAAGAGTAGGCGGTAACCCAAGCGGTTTCTCTAATGCTTGTAAAGAACCAGGCAGGTTCAACGACTGTAGTAGGCTGAAACAACAAAAAAGGCTTTTTAGTAAATTGATCACGGTTAATATGGGATAAAGTGCACTCACTCTCGAAGCTGGTCAGTCATGGACTCTAGTTTTCCAATGATGTTTTCATTAACTAGACGGTCGCGACGGTCTGAGTAGATGCTAGCCGCTACGTGAACGGCATAAGGAACAAGTTTGGACAGCAACGGCTGGCCGAGAGGTCCATTCTCCCCTAGCATGGAGATAGCGTCTGTCACTTGCGTAGGGGCCTTTGCAGCTACCATGGCGGCGCGGTCTAGGGGCTTCAATTCGGATTTTGGCGGCACGGGCAAAAGATAAATCACATCGTTGTCCTTTTCAGCTCGTTTCAAATCCTCCGTAACCCGACTCTTGAGGCCATTCAGATCACCCAACACAATGCGGTTGATCCATTTGGACTCCTTCAATGCTTCGTTGACGCATCGGAGACTGTCCTGGAGGCGAGCAACTTCTTCGCCATATTTCCTCTTATCCAAACACTCCAGGGACTGGCGGTACTGGGCTGCGGCGGCGAAATGATGATGCTTGGCCGACATATGGTGGATCCATTCGGTACTGACAGCATTGGACTTTACGGCAAAGTCGCTAGCGTCGGCGTAAAAATCAGAGACCTTGGCAGCGAGTCTTGCGATTGACGCATCTTTCAGCCCATCCTTGACTGCCTTTTGCCAGAAACATTCTTGGGCCTGCGCCAGTAGAAGTTCCTCCAAGCTCTGTAAAGTCATTTCGTCCATGTCTTCTGGAGGCGATGCGCGAAGATCGGGTAGGATATCCTTTCGAAGGTGGGAGATCACCCCGGCGCCCTGCGAAAAGTAGTTGCATGCTTGTTTGAGGCCGTCGGTGGTTGTGCGGTTCAAGGAGTAGGCCAGTTGCGAGTACAGAGCAGCGAGATTGAACAATATATTTGCCAGCTCAAATCGTAGATTATTCTCCGAAACTGTATAAAAATCCAACCATATTAGCTTAAACGAGGTCCATATTTCATATCATCAACACTGCGGGTTGTGCTCACTCGGTCTCGACGTATTAAATCCAAAAGCAGGATACCAGGAGAAATCGACACCGACCTATGCGCATGGATGTTGGTATAGAGCCCCGTAAAAAAAGGCAGAAAGCGATCGTAAACATACATCGACTGGAAACTTTCCCCCAAGCCATTTCAGCTGCGCAGCATAGGTCACCAATCTGCTCACCCCGCTCACATGCGGTTCCTGCACGTTCACAGCTTCTGTCCGCAGTCGGTCGAGGATGAGCAGGTCGTCTGCAAACATGTCTGGCCGCTGGTCATATTTCGAAGAAATGTACTGCGTGATCGCATCCGACAAAGACACGGCGTGAGTGCGCCGAAAGGGCAACTGGAGGATGTTGCTTCTGGAGAAATCCCGAGCAAAATAGTATATTAGCAAGGAACCTTATAGAGAATTCATGT